TCCAGCCTCAAACAAGGGACAGATATAACCTCGATGGCCTTCAGGGCTGCTCCAGCCTCAAACAAGGGACAGATGATATAACCTCGATGGCCTTCAGGGCTGCTCCAGCCTCAAACAAGGGACAGATGATATAACCTCGATGGCCTTCAGGGCTGCTCCAGTCTCAAACAAGTGACAGATGACATAACCTCGATGGCCTTCAGGGCTGCTCCAGCCTCAAACAAGGGACAGATGATATAACCTCGATGGCCTTCAGGGCTGCTCCAGCCTCAAACAAGGGACAGATGATATAACCTCGATGGCCTTCAGGGCTGCTCCAGCCTCAAACAAGGGACAGATGATATAACCTCGATGGCCTTCAGGGCTGCTCCAGCCTCAAACAAGGGACGGATAGAACCTCGATGGCCTTCAGGGCTGCTCCAGCCTCAAACAAGGGACAGATAGAACCTCGATGGCCTTCAGGGCTGCTCCAGCGTCCAGAAACAATGGTTTTGTTACTTTTGAAAGCCCAAGTATCAGGTTTTGATAGTGCTTTCAATTTAAGCATGTGGTCAATCAGATGTCACAATATAAATCTAAAAAAATGCATCTTATCTCTCTCTATGACTTGGCATCAAAAGAAGATTATTCAGTAAACGAAGAATGTAATAGTTTGTCTTATATTTTGCTCATTGAAAGGTCACTTACATGCTTACATAGTTTCAGGGTAATTTATAACGTTTTCAGTTAAAGAACGCAATTTTATTTATCAGTGGCAGTTATTATCAGCCAAGCGTTTGAGATAAGCTTTATTGAGAAAGCTCGTGACAATGATTCTGGACAAGTTTTGAGTAAAGGTACAATTGATTCTGCATAAGACTTCCTAGAGCTGGGAAGATCAGTGGATTATCTTTGGCAATATGTTGCCCGTTGGTTAGCTAATATATGAAAAATGGGCTATCTGATAACAGTAATTTATCTGCTACAGCACAGAAAATGAACTGAAGTAATAATTTAAACTTTAAAGGCTTTTCTTCTCTTAATACTATAATTTATTAAAATGCTATATCTACATTGAAATAGAACTAAGGGATACTTTTGCTTTGAAAGTTATAAATCTTCTAAATACTACACCTTTTTTTTAAACACCGCAAATGTTATAAGTTGTTTATAGAGAGTTAAGAACAATGTCTTATACAATGCTCTGTTAGTGCTCGCTAAATAACTAAAATTCAAAATTAAAATATTCTTGATAGCTAAATAAGCCCTGAGATCTCAGACAAGAACTGTCTGTGCCCTAAAGGGATAACAACAAAATTTAAAGTGACTGCATTTGCTTCCATTTCCCTAATTATTAAACTTTGAAGAAAATATTCTAATGTAAACATTAACACTGTTAATTAGAGAACTTCATGTTGCAAAACATTATTTATTGTCAACAAGTTCATATTATATACCTGCAAAGGATATTCAAAGAAATTCCAGGAATCTACATTTCAAAGAGTCATCTCATAACATTTGAAATTGTTAATGAACAAATTTATTTGGGCATTGTTATTTTACGTATCCATTTGTTGGGTAGAGATACTCAAAGATGTTTGTTGTATAGAGATAAACGATTGCAAGTATAGGTACCAGAAGCAGTCACAGGTCTACAGAGATGCAGATTTCAGATCTACGATGTCATAGGATACAAGTAGCAACTGAGGGGGAACCGTGCCATGACTTCACTGTCTCTACAGCCTTGTGTGTTGCATGTACCCCTGGCCAGGTTACTCAGACTCAATGTGTTTTAGGTTCTCTCTTGTCAGATGTGGGTGATGCCCGTACCTACAGTACATACAAATGCTTAGCACATGTACTGGGTTAAATAACATCCCTGTAAACTTCAGGTTCTGCCCAGAACCTCAGCCTGTGATCTAATTTGGAAAGAGGGTTGTTGCAAATGTAATAGAATAAGGTCATAGCAGATTAGGATGGATCTGAATCTTAAGACTAGTGACTGTCATTAGAAGAGGGAAATTTGGACTAAGACACACCTACCCAGGGAGAATTCATGTAATAATGGAGGCAGTGACTAGAGTGAAGTGTCTAACAGAAAAGGAACGACAAAGATGGCCAGTAACCCCCAGAGGTTAGAATAGACAAAAGATTCCTCCCCTAGGCTTTTCGGAGACAGCATAATCCACTGACACCTTGATTTTGTTTTGTCTTTAGACAGAGTCTCTCTCTGTTGCCCAGGCTGGAGTGCAGTGGCACCATCTCAGCTCACTGCAACCTCCATCTCTTAGTTCAAACAATCCTCCCACCTCAGCCTCCCAAGTACCTAATTCCAGGTGTGTGCCACCACGCCCAGCTAATTTTTGTATTTTTAGTAGAGATGGGGTTTCACCATGTTGCCCAGGCTGGTCTCAAACTCTTGGCCTAAAGTGATCCTTCTGCCTTAGCATCCCAAAGTGCTGGGATTACAGGCATGAGCCACCGTGCCTGGCTGATACCTTGAGTTTGAATTCCTAGCCTTCAAAACTGTAAGAAAATACATTTTTACTGTTTTAAGCCATCCAGTTTGTTGTACTTTTTATAGCAACTCTAGGAAACTGACATGACACATATGCCCAGCACTTCGTTGACACTCAATGGAGTGCTATTCCAGGACTGGGAACAGACCTTCAAAAGGGTACAAAACAGGAAGCCCCCTGTGGTCAGCCAGACCCTGTGTCCACAAAGTTCTGTGATAAGCTATGGTGAGCAGTCCACATGTGGGGTTCTGATAGCAGGTGATACTCTGAAATCCACGTGGCATCCTCACATTTGGAAGCAGGTCTTTGTGGGAGTTTAGAGATAGGGTCTGCATTGTTCACACTAGAGTCTTACAATTTAAGAAGGGCTCTGAGCCCAGAGGATCCGAACTGCCCTAGCTCATCATGGTGGGAGCTAAGAAGAAAATACAGGTTTTCATGTGAGGTGCTGGGAGATGGCACCTGGGAAGGCAGGCAGGGATTAGACCAAAGAAGGCCTTTCAGGTACCCTTCAATGTCTAGGATGCTCCTGAACAATTCTAGACCAGGGCCAATCTGTGGCAAGTCGGTAGACCAGCAGCATCAGCAAACCTTAGGAGCTTGTTAGAAGTGCAGCAGCTCAGTCCCCACGCAAGGAGGTCCCTGAGGCAGAAACTCTGGGGTCAAGGCCCAAGAGTCTGTGTTCAGCAAGTGCTGCAAGTGATTCACACTGAAATTTGAGATACACTGGTCTAGTCTAGATAACGGAGTGTCATGAACACATTTGGTGTGGGTAACAGCATGAGTTTCCTTCTCTAAAGGACACCTGGGAACTGCAGAGTCATACAAGCAGGCTTCTCTCTTCCAGCCCTCTGACTCCGTTCAAAACAAATCAAGAATCCATCCTTTTCCATGTCTGCCATCATCATCCTAAACGAAACCACCATCATTACTCAGCTGGACTCATAAAGAAGTTTCCTAACTGGTCTCCCGCTTCCTTTCTGAGCCCTTGATCCTCACTATTCAGAGTGTTGTCCATGGAAGTGCAGAATCAGCATCACCTGGTGCTGCTCAGGCTCCAACTCAGACATGCAGAGTCAGAATCTGCACCTAACAAGATCCCCCGTGACTCACATCCATTTGAGGTGCACAGTTTGAGGGTCCCTCTTCCACACAGCAGCTAGAGTCATTTCTCTGAGACTATTAAATTTCACCATGTCAATTTCATTCTTCAGTAGAATCCTATTGCACATTCAATACATTTTGAACTGTTGCTTGCTCCAGCTCTAAAGAACCTGGCAGTGGGATTCCCTCCTGTTTTTCTGATCTCATCCTGTTTCCCTCCTCTCATGGTTTACTATGTTTCACCCACTTTGCCAGCTTTACAGTTCCTGGAACAAGTTCATTTTTTCCTGTCTGAGGGCCTTTGCACTTGTTATTTCCTGGAATAAGTCTCCTTAGTTCTTTGCATAGCTGACCAGGCTTTATTCTTTCCGTGTCACCTTATTGCACATCAACATGGCAGAAGGGATCTCCCATCTCCAATCATTCTCTATCCCATAGTCCTATTTCTTTCTTTCCTCGATAGTCCTCATCATAACCTGAGATTATGCTGTGTGTCTATTGTTTATTGCTCACATTTCCCACTTTACCATGTTAGCTATTTGAGATGATGATTGGGTCATGCTTATTGCTGCATCTCCAGGACATGGTAGGCACTCAATAAATATTAATTGAGTGAATGTGTGAGAGATGCTTCTCACCATCAAGGTCTGGGTACATGGGGCTGTGGAAACCCAGGCCCCAAAATAGGAGTCACCTGTGTGCATTATGGATTTCAGACAGGGTAGCAAAGGATAATCAGCTTCTCTTTTCTAAAAGAACAGTTGTGGCTGGGAGTGGTGGCTCATGCCTGTAATCCCAGTACTTTGGGAGGCCGAGGCAGGCAGATCACCTGGCCAGGAGTTCAAGACCAGCTGGGCAACCTGGTGAAACCCCATCTCTACTAAAAATTTTTAAAAAAGCAGCCAGATGTGGTGGTGTATGCCTGTACTCCCAGCTTCTAGGGAGGCTGTGGCATGATAATCACTTAAACCCAGAAGGTAGAGGCTGCAGTGAGCTGAGATGAGGTCACTGCACTCCAGCCTGGGTAACAGGACAAGACTCTGTCTCAAAAAAAGACCAGTTGCCTCTCCAACTACGTTCTAGATACACAAGGCAAAGTCTCATACCCACGAGATTGGCAGCTGTAATATAGGAAGTTAGCTAATTGGAATTGGGACCACAGGCTAGCCTCATGGGAAAACTTCCTGCATATTTATCCTCAGAATTTGGTCAAATAAAAAAAAAATTCAATCCACAAGCAAATCTGAACTAAGGTACCTCAAGAGCTGTGGAGAATGGAGGAGGTTAGGTGGCTTTCTTGTCATGGTACAGGTGCAAAAATATGATCTAAAACATTAAAAATCCATGTTAACGACTCTTCATGCTATGAAACTAACCAAAAATATTCATTGAACTTACTTTTTCTTACTGTCCTTTTTGGCGGACTTTTCCAAAGCTGCTCTCCTTCTCAAGTAGTCATTCTGAATCTCATTATACTTTGTAGTGTGTTCTTTGATAAGGTCAGTGGTTTTCTTGTGGTGCCTCTTAACCAGGTCTTTCATTTCCTTGTAGTGCTTCTTTTGAAGTTTCACAAACGATTTCTGTTGCTTTAGCTCTTCGATGGTCTGTGCTTCCACTTCTGCAACAAATGAATATGAAAGCTAAGGGAATGGGAGGACTGAAAGTCCAGATAGAAAGAGGAGCAGCCACCTTCTTGGAAGAAATGTTTGATCTTGCCCAGCTGGAGTTTAAGAGCAAAGCTTTGATGTCAGATATATCTGGGTTCCAGTCTGGCTCTATCACTTGCTAACTTTGCAACTATGAACTTGCTAACTTTAGGAACTATGTTCCTAAACTTCTCAGAGACCCAGTTGGTTCATTTGAATACATATATATTTAGTTTGGGTTCCCTAGAAACAGAGTGCAAGATGGGAATTCAGGTGCACATGCTTTACTGAGGGACTCTCATAGTAGGGGAGCTAGGGAAGCATACAGGGGCTGGGGAAGGCACTAAGCAAGGGTGTGATCTCAGAATAATGGAGTCTGGCCTCTGCCTGATCCCATGGGAAGCTCTGGAGTGTGAGTTGTACCACCGAGCTGGTCTCACCTTGAGGAAAGAAGGTGAGCTTCTCACATATTTGGGACAGTCAGAGCAGGGAGGCATAACCGTCTGGAGAGGGGGCTTTCTTTTGGTTGAGGGCAATTTTGCAGAGAAGGGGAAATAATGAGCTGTTAGCAGCCAACCCTTACCACAACCAGGAGACGGTTGCACCAGCTGCACAAGGAATCTGGGCAGGGCACCAATAGCATTACTATAAGGGTTATAATACTTCTACGACTTTATAGGGTTGTTAGGATGATGAAATAAAAGAACTCACGGAAAGTATTTAACCCAGTTTCTGGCACTGTGACTGTGGAGGCTTGGCAAATAACTGCAGGTTCTACAGCACCATTTCTAAAGAGTACCATTTAGAGTATAAACATCTCAGGTTTGTACATCTATCACAGCAGCACATCGCAGTAAAGTGTCTCAAGAGAAGATCTCTTAATATAATTTGCACAGTCATCAGAGGCTTCCTAGCAGCCCACATGACTATATTATTATTTTATTTCCTTTTTTGAGACAGAGTCTTACTCTGTTGCCCAGGCTGGAGTGCAGTGGCATGATCTTAGCTCACTGCAACCTCCACCTCCCTAGTTCAAGTGATTCCATGTTTCAGCCTCCTGAGTAGCTGGGATTAGAAGCACGTGCCAACACTGATTATTCTGTATTTTCTGTAGAGACGGGGTTTCGCTATGTTGGCCAGCCTGATCTCAAACTCCTGGCCTCAAGTGATCTGCCTTCCTTGGCTTCCCAAAGTGCTGGGATTACAGGAGTAAACCACTGTGCCTGGCTGATTTTTTTTTTTTTTTTTATCCCATGCTGAGAAAGCTTTTAATGTGATGGAGCCTGACCTAAAAACATTCTGGGATGGGTGCAGTGGCTCATACCTGTAATCCCAGCATTTTGGGAGGCTGAGGTGGGTGGATCACCTGAGGTTAGGAGTTCAAGACCACCCTGACCAACGTGGTGAAACTCCATCTCTACTAAAGGCACAAAAATAAGGCCAGGCAAGATGGCTCATGCCTGTAATCTCAGCACTTTCGGAGGCTGAGGTGGATGGATCACCTGAGTTCAGGATTTTGAGACAAGTCTGGCCAACATGGCAAAGCCCCATCTTTACCAAAAACACAAAAATTAGCTGGGCATGGTGGCACACGCCCATAATCCCAGCTACTCAGGAGGCTGAGGCAGGAGAATTGCTTGAACCCGGAAAGCGGAAATTGCAGTGAGCTGAGATTGCGCCACTGCCCTCCAGCCTGGGTGAAAGAGCGAGACTCTATCTAAAAAAAATAAATACATAAAAAAATAAAAAATTAGCTGGGTGTGGTGGTGGGCACCTATAGTCCCAGTTACTTGGGAGGCTGAGGCAGGAGAATCACTTGAACCTGGGAGGTTGACAACAGAGTAAGAGATTGCAGTAAGCCAAGATCATACCACTGCACTTCAGGCTGGGCGACAGAGTGAGACTCCGTCCAAAAAAAAAAAAAAAAAAATGTATTTTACTGATATATTCAATAAATTCTAGAGTATGTATTTTATAAATATGTCAATATTTCTGAAATCAAGATGCATCTTATAGTTGGTCAGTGATTTTCTTTTTTAGCAATACGTGACATGGAATGCCTTACAACTGATGGTGTCTTAACTTCAGTGAATTATAATTTATTTGGACCAGATCAAGTCATAACTCATATGTTTCCATGCTTTGAATTGAATATCCTGCTTCTGGGAACAAAAAATGTTACCATAAATATTTAAAACTATCAAGAGATTCAGAAATAATATATGCTGTGAATAAGAAGAGAAGTGAATAGAAAATAAGATGTCTAGTGAATAAACATAGAAACTAGAATGATAATTTATGTTCTTAAATGTTAATATCTTTAAGCAATAGAAATATGTTTCCTTCTCTTACACTGTGTCTATTCTCTTGACACTGGATTTCTTTTGAAAATGAGGCTGTGGAGAAAACCAGGTACACTTATTTAATGGTTTCCCTCAAGCCCAAATTGACTCATTATGGTTACATAATAAGTTATTAAATTAAAAATTTATAATCCCACGGAATTGCTCCATTCTTGGTAGTAGATCCAATTTTATTTCTTTAAAAGTGGTTTACAGTATATCAGCTATAGGCAGTTTGGAAATAAAGCTCTAGATGTTCTAACCTGTGATTAGAAAGAAATCCACATAAATTATTATATTTAAAAAGTCTGTAGATGAGAGGCTGTTCCTTAGAATATGCTCTTAAGTATAAAGGTAATGTCCGCTTACATAAAGACACAAATATCATTTATAAATAAGCCACCAATAGATAATCACAGCTAGTGTATTAGTACAGACCATTGCCTTTTGGCCATTCATTTACATACTTTTAAATAACATTGAAATCATGTTCTGGGAACACTTCTGTCTCTTGTTTTATGCATTACTATGGTATTGTTCCCCATGAAACTAAATCTTTTAAAAACATGTTTTGTTGGGCTGGGCGCAGTGACTCACACCTGTAATCCCAGCACTTTGTGAGGCCAAGGTGGGTGGATCACCTAAGGTCAGGAGTTTGAGACCAGCCTGGCCAACATGGCAAAACCCCATCTCTACTAAAAATACAAAAATTAGCCAGGTGTTGTGGCACGTGCTTGCAGTCCCAGCTACTTAGGAGGCTGAGGCAGGAGAATCGCTTGAACCTGGGAGGCAAAGGTTGTAGCAAGCCAAGATTGTGCCACTGCTCTCTAGCCTGGGTGACAGAGCAAGACTCCATTTCAAAAACAAATAAAAAAACCCATGTTTTGTTATCTTTCAATACTTTCTTCAAGTAATTTTTCTATGCATATTTTATGCATGTCTTGATGAAATACAAATACACACATCAAAGTACATAAATCATAAATTGTAGCCTTGTAAATTTTCCCAAAGTCAATAAACCTTAATATCTATCACTCAGGTCAAAACAAAAATTCTACCAGCATCCTAGAAGCCTTCCTTTCTGGTTCCTGCTTCCCAGGAAGTATATTTCAAATCTAGGTTTCTATAACATGAATTAGTTTTGTCTTCGAAGTTGATGTATATGGAATCCTACAGAACGTGCTCTTTTGTGTCTAGCTTTTATTCCCTCCATGTTATGCTTGAGTTTTATCCATGTTGTTGTGTGTGACTGCAGTTTATTTATTTCTGCAGCTGCCTCTTGTTCTATGCTAGGAATTTATCACAATGTATTTACCTACCCTACTGTTGATGGAGATTGGGTTGTTTCCATATTTGGCCCTTAACAATAGTGCCTCTTTTGGTGAACACGTGTGTATATTTCTGTTGTATATTGAGCCAAGTATTATACATATTTTTAAGATTCCACTACATACTGCTAATTGTACTGCACAAAGCTTGTACCAATTTTAGTTCCATTAGCTTATGTGATTAACCAAATATAAAATAATTCCAAACTGTATCATAGTTCACTGTGCATTTTATGCTCACAAATGGATCATATTCCGCATATCTAAGATATAGTTTGTTGGCAAATTTGGGAAGACAGGCATTCCTGTTCACTGAGATACATTTCCAACATGAAACTATTCTCTGATGGTGAAATAACTATCTTGTGAAACTACATTATGTTTACACCAGCAGGGTTCTAACTACAAAGTATGCCTACCCCTCTGTGATTATATCATATCACACAGACTAAACCAAGAGTGTAGATCTGCAGATTTTTAGAAGAAGAAATATTAATGTTATTTTTCAGATATGAATGAAAATTTCCTCTCCTCTAAGTATTTCCACTGTGTAATACTCAGCTGCTTAATTCCATGCGGGGAAAGGGTGGCAATTACCTGTTAAGACACTCTGAATAAGATCTTCTGTTTTGGCAGGTGCCTTTACAGAACCTGTAATATAAAAGATAAAATAAATAGCCTTCTTCAACTTTTAAAATTTTATTCTTCCTGTAAACAAATAAAGCAAACAAAAATATTTGGGCCTTGAATCTAAATCTCTTTTCAGAGAAATGACAAATTGTGGGAGAAATTCTTTATAAAAATTATTCTTAAAAAGTCTTCATTTGTAGCTTTGAGACAAACCTAATTAAATGTGATATTAGGCCAGGTGCAGTGCCTTTATGTCTGTCATCCCAGCATTTTGGGAGGCTGAGGCAGATGGATCACTTGAGGTCAGGAGTTCGAGACCAGCCTGGACAACATGAGGAAACCCAGTCTCTACTAAAAATAAAATTAGCTGAGTGTGATGGCAGGTACCTGTAATCCCAGCTACTTGGCTGGCTGAAGCAGGAGAATCACTTAAAGCCAGGAGGTGGAGTTTGCAGTGGGCTGAGATTGTACCACTGTACTCCAGCCTATGGGACAGGGTGAGTGAAATTCTGTCTCAAAAAAAAAAAAAAAAAAAGAAGCCATATTATATGCTCCATTTATAGGGAGAGAAAAGAGAAAAGACACCTACTCGGAAGCAAAACAAATTCGGTTTAGGCAATGCTATTGCCACCTTCTGGAAAAATCAGGAATGACAAATGGCCTTTTAAAAGTCAAATGTTCGGAGGCTGAGGTGGGTGGATCACCTGAGGTCAGGAATTCAAGACTACTCCAACCAACATGGCGAAAACTCGTCTCTACTAAAAGTACAAAATTAGCCAGATGTGGTGGTGCATGCCTGTAGTCCCAGCTACTCGGGAGGCTGAGGCAAGAGAATCGCTTCAACCCAGGAGGCAGAGGTTGCAGTGAGCTGAGATTGCACCATTGCACTCCAGCCTGGACAACAAGAACAAAACTCTGTCTCAAAAATAAATAAATAAATAAGGAAAAATGAAAATAAAAGTCAAATGCTGACCACTAGGCAGTAATAACTGTTGCAGGAAAGATCCATTGGAGAAGTTAAAATCAGTAAGTAAAAGTTTAAGGAAGAACAGGATATGTGCATAGTCTCAAAGTAGTTGTCCCAATTTATCTAAGAGGGGAAAATAACTTTGAGTGGAGAAACCACCTTAACCAACTGATCTCACATCATCCATGATGAGACCCAGCAACATCATAGACCCGTGATGTGATGCACTGAGAAGGGTGAGAATCACTTGTGTGGTGCTCTTGTCAAAATGCATGCCCTCAACCTAATCATGGGGAAACATCCGACCAATCCAAACTGAGGGACAGTCTACAAAATAACTGACCGGAGTTCTTCCAAGGTACCAAGGTTATGAAAGACGGGAAAGACTGTGGGACTGCCATAGATGAAAGCAGACTAAGGAGCCATGACAATGAAATACAATGTGGGATCCGGCGTTGGGATCTTGAACAGTAAAAGGACATTAGTGGAAAGCAGGTTAGCCCAAATAAGGTGTGCAGTTCAGGTCAGAGTATCATGCCAATGCTAATTTTCTGGTTTTCATGATTGCCCCATGATCCTGTGAGATGTTAACTTTAGGGGAAAGGAAGGCTGTTTTTGCAATGTATTCTGTGCCATTTAAAAAGTGTTTTCTGGTTGGGTGCAGTGGCTCACGTCTGTAATCCCTAGCACTTTGGGAGGCTAAGGCAGGTGGATTGCTTGACCTCAGGAGTTTGAGACCAGCCTGGGCAACATGGTGAAATCCCATCTCTACTAAAATACAAAAAAAAAAAAAAAAGTAGGGTGTGGTGGCATACATCTATAGTCCCAGCTACTCAGGAGGCTAAAGCAGGAGAATTGTTTGAACCTGGGAGGTGGAGGTTGCAGTGAGCCAACATTGTGCCACTTTACTCCAGCCTGGGCAACACAGTGAGACTCTGTCCCTTAAAAAGAATATATATATATATATTGCAATATATATATATATATTGCAAAAATTTGACTTACAGAAAACATATATATGTTTTCTGTAAGTCAAATTTTTGCAAAATATCAGGTTAAAAAATGTGAAAATGCTAAATTCTCTTTTACTTTCAGGAACACATGACTATTTACTCACATATTTAAATGATGAATATATATTTCAGAAGGACTCGAGATGTTTGTATTTGGTATATAAAACTCTTTTTTTGAAAATTTATTTCTTGTCATCTTCTTACTATTGGCAACATTTTTTTTTTTTTTTTTTTTGAGATGGCGTCTTGCTCTGTCATTCAGGCTAGAGTGCAGTGGCATGATCTCAGCTTATTGCAACCTTAGCCTCCCAGGTTCAAGCAATTTTCTTGCCTCAGTCTTCTGAATTGCTGAAACTACAGTCATGCACTGCCATGCCAGGATAACATGTATTTTTAGTAGAGACGGGGTTTCACCATGTTGGCCAGGCTGGTCTCGAACTGTTGACTTCAAGTCATACATCTACCTTGGCCTTCCAAGGTGCTGGGATTGTGGGTATGAGTCAACACACCTGGCCAGCAACAAAGAAAGGAGCTCTATTCCACACCTTCATGGAAGGAAATTCTGTTCCTTTTTACTTACTTTATTAAACAATTCGACAAGAAATTATCAGGTCCATGCTATTCCCCAGCACAGTGTGATGTACAGAGGAAGCATCAAACTGAAATCTATCCTAGGAAGCCTCCCATCTACTGGGGTAAACAGGACAAGGAAGAGTTACATAAAGCTGCCTAAGATTAAAGATTAAATGTCAAAGTTAGCTGCATACAAATCAAAGATTTTTGTTTGTTTGTTTGTTTTTTAGAAATGAGGCATGAGCCTGGCTTTGGTTGGAATATAGGAGCTAAAAGCAAGAATGTTAGTATCACAGGGAAATGTGTCAGGTCTGACTACACTCTTCCCTGGCTCTGTGGCCTTTAATAAGTACTTTATCACCTGAAAATGGCAGCTTATTCAGCTGCCCTATGGGGACAATGATAGAATCTACTCTCTGGGCCTGTCGGTGGGGGGAGGGTGGGGAATTGAAATGATCCATGTGAAAGGCTTCACAATGTGTCCAGCACCCAGCACATGGCAGACACTCAAGGATGTTGAAAAGAAAGTTGGAGAAAGAGGAAAAGGAGCCCTTGGCAAAGAATTAATGAAACAGGACTAATAATGAACCTTTTTTTTTTTTGAGACAGAGTCTCGCTCTGTCGCCCAGGCTGGAGTGCAGTGGTGTGATCTCAGCTTACTGCAACCTCCACCTCCAGGGTTCAAGCAATTCTCATGCCTCAGCCTCCTGATGAGCTGGGACTACAGGTATGTGCCACCACGACCAGCTACTTTTTTTGTATTTTAAGTAGAGATGGAGTTTCACCTTGTTCGCCAGGATGGTTTTGATCTCCTGACCTCGTGATCCTCCTGTCTTGGCCTCCCAAAGTGTTGGGATTACAGGCATGAGCCACGGCACCCAGCCTCAAGAATGCACTTCTAAGGCATGATTGTTTATAAGCTACTTGGAGAACTCTACTCAAACTGTGCTAGCAGATGGATCATAAAAAATTCATCACTAAAAAAGGACACATGAAATCTGGGTGATTTTTTGTTGTGGCTTCATAAGTTATCTGGAGAGCCAGATGAGCACCTATGAATCTCTTCTGGTCTTCATTCATTGATTGCACATTGATGGAGCACCTCCTAAGTCCACGCATCTTTCCTCACCTGATGCTTTAGCTACCCACATCACAACACCTCCTTCAGTGGCACTAATGAATGGAAGTATCTTGCTCATGTTGTCCAGCTCTTTCCAGATGGCCTACCTGGAGCTGGCTGGCTGTGGAGAGCCTGGGAGGGTGGCTTGGGCGTCAGGGATGTAGTGTGATTCACCCCATTTTCTGCTGGAGTCGTCCTTGCTTCACTTGGAGCTTCTGATGGTGTTTCTCCAGGATCGGCCTAAAATTATAAATATCCTTTCATTTTCCACATTTCTTTTTAGTCTTTTCTTGCCTCCCTAAATCAACAAGGCTATATTTTGCAGCATCTTCACAATTCTTTTGGAGTTGGAAATACCAAATTTGATACCACCTGGATATCAGGATTAAAACAGCAGAGTGTTGAACCACGAATATAGGAGATTAATTGTATTAAAGTCTCCAATTTTTACACCAACCTATGTCTATGCCTTGGTGGTGTCCTTCCACAGTGACTCTGGACCAGACCATGTGATTTACTTGGGTCAATCAGAGGGTAGCAAACTTGATACAAAAGGCCCTTGCAAACTTTACCACTGTTTCTCAGGACCCTGTTATAGCAATGGAGGACCTGAGTCATCCTTGTCTCTTATCCAGCTCTTCTGGAGGACAGCTGAGTCATCCTTATGTCCTGGACCAGCCAGTCCCCAGCTGAGCACATATGCAGGAGTGAGCCCGGCTGAGATGAGCTGAGTCTGTGAGTCTGGTCTGGATCTCCAGACCTGCCCAGCTGACCAGATAATGACTAGATAATGCATGAAAAAGAATAACTGGTTGCTGTTATAAGCCGCCAAGTTTGGGGTTGTTTTACAGAATGAGCTAATTGATGTGATGGATAAGAACACATATTTTGGAGTGCAGCTTGCCTGGATTCAGATTTTGGCCCTGCAATTTACCAGAAGTGTAATTTTGGGCCGCTCATTTAACTTTCAGTGCTTCAATTTCTTTATCATTATAGACGAAGAAATGTGTGTGCTGGGGATCACAATGTTATCTTGTGAGATTGTTTAGATGATTAAGTTAATATTTATAAAGTGCTTAGAATTGTTTCTGGCACAGAGTAAATATGTGGATGTTAAATAACGTGTAAGTTGTCAGAATCCAAATGGAGTCCCTTATATTAAAACAACAACAACAACAACAAAATCCCCCAAAACACTGGCAAAAAGAGCCAGGAATGTCGTAAAGAGAAGGTTCTCACACATAAATGCCTGATAAGAAAAGCTATCACAAAAGACTGCAAAAAGCATCACCTGGTACAAAGGCCACAGCAACATGACACAAAACATACTTCTGTGAGGACATCTGCCCAGCAACTTCCTGTCCAACCTTGGACTGATGTCATTCTTGTTATTGATCCTTGTAGCCAAGGATAATCATCTCAACACAGTTACGTAATCCTCCTCATTCATCCTTCAAAAACCTTTGTCTTTCTTCCCTTCCTGACTATGCACATAATTTAGTATGCCCTATTCTTAAATAATATTATTTTCTTTTAGAGAGCATCTCTCGGTTTGTTATTCGTGTTGATGTAAAACAAATAAAACAAAACATTTAAGCTTGTGCAATATTACCAATGAATAATAATAAATGCATTGAAACGTGAAATCTTCACTCAACACCCTCCAGCAGCTCATTCACTATACCCTATACAAACATTTAAAAATAATTGCTGAATAAATGCTGATCCTTATAAAATAATTTGCCTACATACTCTTTTAATGTTGCTTTTCAATGTGCTAGATTCTCTGTAACTCTTTATCAGGATTGGCTTCCAAGTCCCTGGCAGGTTTTACTGACAAGGAGGTTATCCCAATGTTCTACTTTGTAGCATATTTTAAAAATACATTAGGAAATATAGTTTCCCAGAAGTCATTTGGAGCCCAACATTGTGACATTTTGGCATGTCATTACAGATGGAAAATTGTCGTATAATAACATTTTTATAAAAAGTAAGAGAAGAGTGAAAATAGTGACACTGATTGTCACCAGTGGCCTTTAATCTGTTTCCCAAATCATCTTTAAAGCAACTTCCAAAATGGCATTAAGTGATGGGAGAACTTATTTTAATTCAACAAATCATCCCTGCTTGGTTACCACAGCCAGCTCAGTGCTGGAAGCGCCCTTAGTAGCAATGGCTGGACAGCAGTTAGGGGAGACAAGAGCCTAAACAAGTAACCTGGGCAGCCTGTATAGCTCACTAGGGCAGAATCTTTCTTTTGAAAAATGGCTACTTCTGATGGGTAAGTGCTGGTATGGTCACACTATTTAGTTACATCCATCAGAAAAATTCTCCCTAGAATCATATGCAAAGGGAAAGGACTGTGTATGTTTTGTTCAGCAAGACATTGCCAACTGGAAACTCATGGTCCCAATGGGGTGCATGGATGCATTTTCTCTGGCTCAACCAATGCGGCCAAATCTTTTAATTAAGGTGATTTTACATTGAAACAGTGAATTTCTTGCTTCCCTTGAAAAACCAGATTTGACTACATGGGGCCTATACACCGTCAGTGGGTGGTTCTTTGGCTTAAGTACCACAGGGGTAATGCTTTCCTGGCCTCCCAGCTGAAGAGGGTGCCCATGGTTACCACACTCAGCTGCTTTAGAAACAAGGTAGGAAGATATCCCTGTTCCGTGGGGATCTGACCTTTCCCACTATATCCAAGTTGGTTTCTAAAACCATGTGGGGAATGAACCAGATTCTTCTCAATGTGACAGCTGACTAAAATTAGCCCTCTGAGAAAGGACAGAGAAAAAGAAAATTTTGATGGAGAAAAGAATGGAAGTTAGAGAAAACCAGTTTCAGTGAAACTAATAACAGTGGCTTTTTTTTTTCTTGGCAATTAGCATTAGTGTCTTGAGGTGCTAAGCTGGAGGTGCATTCAAACTGGATCCAACAAGTTTATTTTTAGCTTTGTATCAGGTTTTCAGATACTCCATGTAGCTGTATGCCCTTCGGAAATCAAGTTCAATTGTCAATTTGAGTCAAGTAAAGGAAAAAATAAACTTCTGCTTATCAAGGGCGTGTGAGACTAAGGTTCCACCTTCCCTAAAAGGGATAGAATATACAAAATCACAGATATTTTTAAAAAGCAGATGTTATGTAAACATTCAGGCAAATACTTTATGGTTGCAATTGAGGATGAAGGGGTCACCAAGGGTTGGTGCTCGACTTTGAATTCGGTTTTGGAGAAATGCTTTGTTCAGGAGTCACACCTGGAGATGTCTTCATATAGAGTGGACTGTGTCACTCTAGGGACACAACCCCCAGGGATACTATTCACACTGTAGAATAATGGGCAGTCAATGGAAATGATAGAAACCAGTGAAGCTGACCAGATTTAATGCAATAGGGCAAAGAGAGGTCATGTCCAGAGCAGGAGAGAGAGAGCCTGTAAATGGGGCAGTTGTTCCTGTTCATTTTTAGACTATTTTGCCCAGGTTTTGAAAAAAACTGAAAAACTAAATTTTTGAGTGAACTCTCCTAGTTTCCAATCACTGACAAGCTGCCAATCTGTATCCTCTGCCAGGAGGAGCAGAGTTTGCCTGGAATTCTGAGATGGGCCAAGAGTGAGCCATGCATCCTTAGCAACGCTGAAGGGACAGGGCTGTGCCAGGAACTCGGTGGGCGGGAGCCAATTAGTCTGCAGCCCACAGCTCCTCACCTTCTTGCCCCAGTGGCCAAGCAAAGGCATAGGGAAGAGGGTCGGTAAGGAGTTAAATACTGGGCTAAGGAATTTGGAGATCCTTGCATAGTCTTACTCTTGCCGGGTACCTCTTATGCTTTTCTGAAGACAAATGTTATATACAAGCTAAGTCAGCAGTCACCAACCTTACTGGCACCAAGGACCAGTTTCATAAAAGATAATTTTTTCATGGACCAGGGGGGAGAGGAACATATGGGGGGGATGGTTCAAGAGCATTATATTTATTGTGCACTTTATTTCTATTATGATTACATTGGAATATATTGTGAAATAATTATACAACTCACCATAATGTAGAATCAGTGGGAGCCCTGAGCTTGTTTTCTTGCAATTAGATCATCCCATTTGGGGGTGATGGGAGACAGTCATAGATCATCACGCGTTAGATTTTCATAAGGAGCACACAACCTAGATCCCTCGCATGCGCAGTTCACAATAGGGGGGTCGCACTCATATAAGAATCTAATGCTGCAGCTGATCTGACAGGAGGTGGAGCTCAGGGGGTAATGTGAGTGATGGGGAGCAGCTGTAAATGCAGATGAAGCTTTGTTCCTTGCCCACCTGCTACTTATTTCCTGCTGTGCGGCCCAGTTCCTAACAGGCTATGGACCAGTACTGGTTGCGGACACCCGTGTTAAGTAAGATTCTATAATAACACATACATGTGACTGATGTCTAAACCTTTTTGCTAAGGGCTATAGATACAATTTTTTTTTTTTTTTTTTAGACAGTCTCACTTTGTCACCCAGGCTGAATTGCAGTGATGTGATCTTGGCTCATTGCAACCTCCACCTTCTGGGTTCAAGTGATTCTCCTGCATCAGCCTCCTGAGTAGCTGGGATTATAGATGAGCCTCACCATATCCAGCTAATTTTTGTATTTTTAGTAGAGACGGGGCTTCACCATGTTGGCCATGCTGGTCTTGAACTCTGGACTTCAAGCGATTTTCCTGCCTCGGATTCCCAAAGTACAGGCATGAGCCTGTAATTTGTAGATACAAATTTTAATTGACTATATTTGCCAAGTGAAGACTACCATTAGAAGTGGCTGAGATCTTTCTGGGTTAGACACTGTTATATACAACAGCTTTTCCACAGCCAGTCAGTGTAGGCAACACTCACAGTACCATTATAGAGCAAAAAAAAAAAAAAAAAAAAAAAAGAGGTGTTATTAGAAATCTTTACTGAAAATTTTATTAAAAGTCATGTAACTTGCCAGAGGTCACACAGTAAACTGTGAACGAGTATTTGAATATGTACTATATGCTAAAGACTAAATTTTTCTACTGCAGCAGTCCACTCTATGGTAACAGCAGCCTAAGGAACCATAATAATAACTTAACTTGCTACTGATATAGAGATGTGTACATGTAAACATAGTTCTCAAAAAACTACCCTGTTGCACTAAATAGGCATTTGTATATACAAAGTCAAATAAGCAAAACAACGGCTGAAAAATGAGAAAAGCACCTATAGGAGTGCGATACCAAAAC